AACAACTGAGCAGCTGACAGGAAGTGGGAGAGGCAATAGGAGACAGCAAGTGGACGAGTCTTCTCTCTTTCCATCTCAGCTCGCATGCCTCTTCATGAAGCAGGGAACGACCAATTCAGGTTTGGCATAGTCAGTTGTAATAATCAACAAACTTGGCAAATTATTCGGAACAAAAAGCCTGTAATTTGAGAGAAAACTATCCACGTTCTCGGATAACACAAGGCAACTCAACGTTTCAGTTGTAACTTCGCTTCAGGTCCTAAAAGAGGTCTCAGACATGGACTTTTCTAGAGTACAAAACCGACCCACAGAAATATAGAACTAGATAAACAAACATCCTCTTGCAGAAAGTCGCCGAGGATATTAAACTTTTTCTGGGATAAACCAAAGATCTTTTAACTTGATACGTTTTACATTCAGTTTCCAAACAACACCATACTACCTCCATATTGGAGGAATGTTGTCCTAACGGCGTGAGCAAGATACTAAAAAGAATAGAAGACCAACAAATTTTATTGGACGTTAGAGAAACAACACATGAACCACTCTGATAAAACTCTACAGCATTATATATCTGTAAAAACATCTACCTGCTATGTACAAAAATTATAGCCCACCGAACTAAAAGTCTCTAGTCAAAACAACACGTTTGAACCATTTTGAAAAAAAACTACATGCGGCATCCCAGCGGAGAGCCTTTGGGATATTCACGATACAAATTCTCTTGAGGACAGTTAAACTTTTGCGAACTTTCAGTAACAGTATTTTAAACAACTTTGTGCAGTCACCGCCTCCACCTCTCCCGACCCCAATTCCCCCTGAATCTTCTTTCGTCTCTCCGTTCTTGGTATCTTGGTCGTTCGTCTATCGGTTGGGAGTGTCTGTCTCGCCGATGTTCATCCTCGTACCAAAGCCGTCCGGACCTGTGTTGATCCCGCCAGTCGCTTCGGGAATCCCGAGGGTTACGCGACTCAAACGAACCGGAAGGCCTGGAGTCCCGTGGGAAACGCGGGTTATCGTGCCAACCATCCCTCTCTCTGTCGCCCAACCTTCTTTGTTCTTGTGATTCACCTCTGCGTTCGCTTGATAATCGTCTATTTTCCCTCGACTCTATGCGTGATTCGCGCGCCGCCAGCCGCGCACGCTCTTCTGGTCGAAGACCGCTGTACTGCTGCGTTACGTTTCCACTTAAAGACTTCTGTACACCTTCATCCACAGCTGATGGCGCACGGCTTGCAGGCGCGGAAAGCTGTAGATGTACGGTTGAACTGGACGGAACCGGATGTAGCTTGGCCGTACTTATAGGCGTTGACACATGGCTTGCAGTAGCTGTAGGATAGGATGTGCTGTCAGAGGATATTGCTTCCAATCCACTGCTGACTGGCCCAATGAGTTGCAGTATGCTGATACCTGATACAATGGACGGACTTTTCGAGCTAGCCGAGATAGACGACTGGTTAATGGTACCTGCCGTAGCTACAGCAGTGGTCTCGTTTCCTTGATTAACTTCTTCTTTGGATCCGGAGGTTGCCCCCAATGGTAGAATTGAAGAAAGAGCTGTTAAATGCGGACTTAAACTTTTGCTGCCAGCACCTTGAAGTCTTTGAAGAGTGGAGACCAACATTTGAAGACTGGAGGGTTTAGATGGCTCCTCTGGTGGTACAGATACTGCAGGTTTGGTTGGAGTGTGCGTAGAAGGATTAAGATCAAGAAGTAAATGTTCCTCGGGATCATACGGTGCATCATCGTCTACACTTCTGCTTTTGTCATTTTCTGGATCATTTGCAACAGGAAATGGAATATCCGGTTTATCCTCACTAGTAGCGGTGGTTGAATGGTCAATAGCTGCAACTTCTTTTCGCTGTGTCTGAGCCATGATATACTGTCGTGCGCGCTCTTGAAGATCGAGTAACTGCTGTTTCTGTGCCTCAAGGGAAGGAACAGATGAATTACTCGTAGAAACAGCAGGAGAGCTCGGCGCTCCAGAGGAGGAAGCTACTGAAGGCGTCGATGTCTCAGATACAGGAGAAGCTTTGGCTGACAAATCCTTGGTCTCCTTACTGCTGACCTTAGCTTGAGTGGTGTTGTACTGAAACACAATATCTTCAATGTCCGCCGGAGGCGAGTCATGAAGTTCACTAAGCACTTCTCTTTTCCTGGTCGGGCTCTCCTCAGCACCTCCATCGCTGCTGCTGTTCTCCACACTCGCTGAACTGGTTCGGCGCTTGGGAGGAGGGGACAGTGAGCGCTGACTAAGTGCACGCGGGCGCTTGAACAATACCTTGGATCGGACAATTACTCCCAGGAGCATATGAGGACGGGGATCATCTAGTCCTGAAAGAAGCAATAAACCCAACATTATTTCAGTTACCCTTGCTATTCATACAGTAAAACCTACTGATAGTCTTAGGGATAACCAGCGTATGGTGTCAAACTATAATCGTAAAGAATCTGTATTACAGTCAACGTAAGAACGATGGCCATGTTACTGCTCCACGCTTTCATAAAAAGTCCAGCTAAAAGGGTTGTACGTGTGGACGAAGCTTTAAGCTAAAAGTGGTATCTTGACAATTACCACCAAGTTCTCTTGAATGGTTCAAAGGCAAAAGTGTAGACACTGAGGGGTAAGGTTTACCACAAGATCTAAGGAGTAAAAACTGTCTATTCCCGAGGTACTATCGAGTTTGCTCTTCGTTACTCTCCCTCCGGGGAAGGCAATGGACTTGTTTTCGAAACAGTTGGCTGGTGGTCAAAGATATAAGCTAAAGGAAATCATCCTGATTTAACGCCAAGTTCTCTCAAGTGGTTTAGTGGGAAAAGTGTAACAATTTCGGGGGGAGGGGGAGGGGGGAAGAGTTTTAAATATAATCTAGTAGGTAAAGTGTTTATGGGAAGTTTTCTTTTCGAAGTGTCAAGTTTCTAAACAGCTAATTCAATCTTGGTTTAATTTCCGCCTCTCTTAAGTTGGCTCCTCGTTTCTCCCCTTTTGGGATAGGAAGGTGGACATCGTCTTTTTTTACAAACGGTGGTTGATTGTCGAGCCTAAATTCAATCAGGTTCAGAGGCTTACCAGGTCCGTCAAATGGTAGTAGCTCTGGCGGTACGCGTTGATGTGAGGCTAGAGGTACCAGATACATATCTTTGACTCCAGTGTAACAGTTACTAACCACACCGCATCTCTTTCTACTATAAAAGTACGAATACAGCGACACGTAACTCAGCTTTTCGTCATCAGAGGAAGCCTCGTACCTAATCACACACACCTCCTGGGATAAAAAAAATTGCAGATGGAAACTATCAGTTATAAATGGTAGCAAAAAGTCTGCAAACACGTCCTACGGTTCATACAAACTCAGCATACCTTGCTTTTTGAAAGCAGAGAGCGATTGGGAATATTACTTCACACTCTTTATGCAAAGTTAATTTAATCTAAATCCCATAAAGGTTCCCCTTAGCACTTCGTCAACATACTTAGAAGTCTTAGTGGTACCTATTTTTTTCTCCTGGCAGGACAGAGGGAGTGAGAATCTGTGACAAGAAATAGTCTTGCCCCAGAGTACAAAAACAAAGAGGTATTTCAACAATAACTCAAAACTGAGGAGCGTTTCAGAGATGGCTTGTAATAATTCTTACCCTCGACGTGGAGCTCTTCAGTTGCAGTAGATAGTCCCAGACCTGCTCATGCGCAATGCGACCCTGAACATGTAGTGTATCGGGCAACAAATGCAGCAAATCGTCGCATGGCCCCGATACACGATAAGCACTGGTACCGAACTTAGCAATACTCTGCATCATCACAAATCCTTTCCACACGGCTGGGACTTTTTTGGCTGTTTTGGCCAGCATAGTGGGTGACACGGGAGGCTGCACAGCCGAGTCTGGTGAGCTGGGAAAACAACGCAGACAAAAAGAAACATTTTAATGAGCGTCGAAAGTAATTCGGTGTTGCATTGGTCCTGGGTATCTTTGCTTCGTGATTGGTGAAGAAAAGTCGCGCCACTTTCTCAACCAATCAATTACAAAACTAAACCAATCACGAATTGGTCGCTGCGTTTTCCCGCGCTTTAGGCAATTTAGTTGTTTTTACCTTGAGTTCTCATTGGCTCTCCACGGTATTTTGCTTTCTCCTCATCGGCGGTGGTAATTACCTTGGTTTTGGCTTTGGTTTTTGTTTTACGACACTCAATCGAAAAGCTCTCAAGCGCGGAAGGAAATTATCACAAGGAAACGATGAGAACTCAAAACTAAACACAAGCAAACTAGCCGAGGCGCGAGACAACGTGGGTGCACAAGTGGCGATTGATTTCAGTTTGAATTCGATTGGTTGCGAGAGAGACGCGAGTTTTCTCGACCAATCACATGGCTACCTAAAGTAAAACTGAACCAGTCCCGAGTTACAAAATTTTTAAAAATTACAGAGGAACGAACCTCGCGGAGGTGACAATGTCCATAGGTGTAGGAGAAGGAACTGAACTCTCAGCAACAGCTTGAACTCTGTTAAAAACAAATCACCTCATCAGTAAGAAAAAAAAAGAATAAAAAATAGACAGTTACAGATTGTATGTAGCTACTGGTTTAGCAAACTTACTGTGGCGTTGAAAAGAATGATAAAAACCCCCCTCTGTCTCTTAAAACTTAAGGCCCTACTCAATTATAATACAAAATTCCTACAAACAACCATTACTCTCCCATCCCTCCCCTCCCTATAGGCTCCCCATGACTTACATTGATGTGGTTGATACAAGTGGAGCAGGTGTTTCTCTCCTCGGGGGCTCCCCTGGGGGCGCCATTTTTCCAGTGCAGATGCGGCAGTTGAGATCAAAGAGATGAATGCGATGTTCATCAGTGGTGTCGAGAAGCAAGGTACTGGATACCGTGTTGCTATCTGGAAGATTTTTCTCTACGTTAACCTCTGAAGTGGTTTTAACTGAGTTCTGAGAAAACAGCAAGAAGAAAGAGGCAACAAGATAAGATTTACATATTAAAAAAATTATCTTCAAAAACTAAATATCACTGTTTCATTTCTTCTCTAAAATTTAAATATATATCAACACAATTAGGTATCCAAGATCAGAAAAACGAATGAAAGACTCATTCAAATTAGTCTAAAGACAAAAGTAACGCGAGATATTGGAGTACTTCTCAAAAGCTTTCTTAGGAACAATGACACACAAGTGTTTGAACCCCATCACTCCCATCATCTCATTAGGAATTCTCATTATTGTCTGCCATACAATTCTAATAATGTCAGTTTGGAGAATTTAAAATCGGATCAACCAATTATCCCCTAATTGATATCTTTCTTTATTCTTATCACTTGTCTGCTCCATAGCGTTTTGATATTGCGAGGAGAAATTCTGTCTCGTTAACTCAGGGGCGTTAAATGATTCTAACCAGACATTTTACA